GGATCTCTTGAGGTCGGGAGTTTGAAACCAGCCTGGCCAACATAGTGAAACCCCGCCTCTGCCAAAAAAATACAGAATAGCCAGGCGTGGTGAGGGGCACCTGTAATCCCAGCTACATGGGAGGCTGAGGCAGGAGAATCGCTTGGACCCCGTGGGCAGAGGTTGTAGTGCCAGGATCATACCACTGCACTTTAGCGTGGGCAACAAGAGCAAAACTTTGTCTCAGAAAAGAAAGAAAGAAATATCAGGATAAACATTTTATTTTATTTATTTATTTATGGTTGTTGTTGTTTTTGAGACAAAGTCTCACTCTGTTGCCCAGGTTGGAGTGCAGTGGCTTAATCTTGGCTCACAGCAACCTCTGCCTCCTGGGTTCAAGCCATTCTTCTGCCTCAGACTCCCGAGTAGCTGGGACTAAAGACATACACTATCATGTCCGTCTAATTTTTGTATTTTTAGTAGAGACGGGGTTTCGCTCTGTTGACCAGGCTGGTCTTGAACTCCTGACCTTGTGATCTGCCCACCTTGGCCTCCCAAAGTGCTGGGATTACAGGTGTGAGCCACTGCGCCCAGCCTATTTATTTTTTTGAGACAATGTCTCACCCTGTCGCCCAGGCAGGAGTGCAGTGGAGCGATCTTGGCTCACTGCAGTCTCTGCCTCCTGGATTCAAGCGATTCTCTGCCTTAGCGTCCCGAGTAGCTGTGATGTGACACCACACCTGGCTAATTTTTTGTATTTGTAGTAGAGGCGAGGTTTCACTGTGTTAGCCAGGATGGTCTAGATCTCTGGACCTCGTGATCCACCAACCTCGGTCTCCCAAAGTGCTGGGATTACAGGTATGAGCCGCTGCACCCAGCCTTATGTATGTATGTATTTTATATATATATTTATTGCATTTTAGGTTTTGGGGTACAGTGAAGAACATGCAAGATTGTTGCATAAGTACATATATGACAATATGGTTTGTTGTCTTCCTCCCCATCACCTATATCTGACATTTCTCCCCATGTTATCCCTCCCTAACTCCCCACCCCCTTCTGTCCTTCCCCTCGTTCCACCCACAACAGACCCCAGTGTGTGATGCTCCCCTCCCTGTGTCCATGTGTTCTCATTGTTCAACACCCACCTATGAGTGAGAACATGCAGTGTTTGATTTTCTGTTCTTGTGTCAGTTTGCTGAGATTGACGGTTTCCAGGTTCATCCATGTCCCTACAAAGGACATGAACTCATCGTTTTTTATGACTGCATAGTATTCCATGGTATGTATGTGCCACATTTTCCCTGTCTAGTCTATCATTGATGGGCATTTGGGTTGGTTCGAAATCTTTGCTATTATAAACAGTGCCGCAATGAACATTCTTGTGCATATGTCCTTATAATAGAATGATTTATAATCCTTTGGATATATACCCAGTAATGGGATTGCTGGGTCAAATGAAATTTCTATTTCTAGGTCCTTGAGGAATCGCCACACTGTCTTCCACAATGGTGGAACTAATTTACACTCCCACCAACATTGTAAAAGTGCTCCTATTTCTCTACATCCTCTCTAGCCTCTGTTGACTCCAGATTTTTTAATGATCACCATTCTAACTGGCATGAGATGGTATCTCAATGTAGTTTTTTTTTTTTTTTTTTTTTTTTTTTTTTTTTTTTTTTTTTTTTAAGATGGGGTTTCACCATGATGGCCAGGCTGGTCTTGAACTCCTGACCTCAGGTGATCCACCCACCTCGGCCTCCCAAAGTGCTAGGATTACAGGCGTGAGCCACCACGCCCAGCCTCAATGTAGTTTTAATTTGCATCTCTCTAATGACCCATGATGATGAGCATTTTTTCATGTTTGTTGGACTCATACATGTCTTCTTTTGTAAAGTGTCTGTTCATATCCTTCACCCAGTTTTGAATGGGCTTGTTTTTAACTTGTAAATCTATTTTAGTTCTTTGTAGGTTCTGGATATTAGCCATTTGTCAGATGGGTAGATTGCAAAAATTTTTTCCCGTTCTGTGCTGTACACGTTCAGAGAAACTTCTCTAGTAACAAACTATAGAAACGATCCCTGAAAGTATAGTCTTTATTTATTTTTAATTTTTTTTTTTTTTGTCTCCCCTATGGGGCCCAGCGCAGGGACAGGGAATGGGAGGGATGGAGGTAGCCGTTTCAGGCAAAGCCCTTATTAGACATGAGAAACCCAAATGGCAGATGAAATACCCATTTACCCAGAACTCTCTGGGAGGAATCTATTTTACATCAGAGAATTTTTCAGTTTTCAGTGAATTTTTTTTTCTTTTTTTTTTTTAATACTGAGTCTTGCTCTATTGCCCAGGCTGGAGTGCAGTGGCACAATCTTGGCTCACTGCAGCCTCCACCTCCCAGGTTCAAGCAGTTCTCCTGCCTCAGCCTCCCGAGTAGCTGGGATTACAGGTGCCCACAACCATTCCTGGCTAATTTTTGTATTTTTCTCAGAAACAGGGTTTCACCATGTTGGCCAGGCTGGTCCCAAACTTCTGACCTCAGGTCCCTCAGCCTTCCGAAGTGCTGGGATTTATTTTATTTTTTGAGACAAGAGTCTCACCCAGGCTAGTGTGCAGTGGCACGATTGTGGCTCACTGCAGCCTCAACCTCCGCAGTTTCATGCCTCCTTAGTAGCTGGGATCATAGGCACGTGCCACCACACCCAGCTATTATTTATTTATTTATTTATTTTGAGATAGGTTTTACCATATTACCCAGGCTGGTTTTGAACTCCTGGGCTCGAGTGATCCACTCGACTTGGTCTCCCAAAGTGTTCAGATTACAGGTGTGAGCCACTGCGCCTGGCCAGGAAAAACATTTTAAGTTGTCAAGACTGTCCATTAGTACAACGGGCTGTCTTGGGAGAGCCCTGGACCTATGATCTCAGACAAGTTATTAGACAAGTATCCGGAGAGGGTTGGACCATTGGGAACATACTGTGTTCTCAAGAGTCACTTAGGGCTGGACTGGGAGAGGTTGGATTAGCAGAAATCAGCCTTGTTGCAGCCACAGTACTTTGATCTTGTTACTTATCAGAGTCCTTATCAGAATTTCAGAAGGCTACAGTGCTTTCTTAAAAAGAATTCAGAAACCATTAGATTAGATGATTTTTCTATTCTCTGTTACTGAAAAAGCTTAACTAGCAAATGGAATTTGTAGAGGGGATTTTCTTTTGTTGGAACAAGATGAACTCTTATTGACAGATAACAAAAATGATTTCTTTCTTAAGAATTGTCATGGCCCAGTGTGGTGGCTCACGCCTGTAATCCCAGCACTTTGGGAGGTCAAGGTGGGCACATCACAAGGTCAAGAGCTTGGGACCAGCCTGGCTAACATAATGAAACCCCGTCTCTACTAAAAATATAAAAAAAATTAGGCATGGTGCCGAATGCCTGTAATCCTAACTACTTGAGAGGCCAAGGCAGGAGAATTGCTTGAACTTAGTAGGCTGAGGTTGCAGTGAGCCAAGATATAGCCTGGACAACAGTGTGAGACTGGATCTCAAAAAAAAATTATTTTCATATGACCGCCTGGGCGTGGTGGCTCACGCCTATAGTCCCAGCACTTTGGGAGGCCTAGGCAGGCAGGTCACTTGAGGTCAGAAGTTTGAGACCAGCCTGGCCAACATGGCAAAACCACATCTCTACTAAAAATACAAAAATTAGGGCCAGGCATGTTGGCTCATGCCTGTAATCCTAGCACTTTGAGAGGCCGAGGTGGGCGGATCACAAGATCAGGAGATTGAGACCATCCTGGCCAACATGGCGAAACCCCGTCTCTACTAAAAAATGTAAAAACTTAAGGTGTGGTGGTATGCGCCTGTAGTTCCAGCTACTCAGGAGATGGCTGAGGCAGGAGAATCACTTGAACCCAGGAGGCAGAGGTTGCAGCGAGCCAAGATCGTGCCATTGCACTCTAGCCTGGTTGACAGAGTGAGACTCTGTCTCAAAAAAAAAATTACCTGGGTACGGTGGCAGGCACCTGTGATTCCAGCTACTCGGGAGGCTGAAGCAGGAGAATCACTTGAACCCTGGAGATGGAGGTTGTGGTGCACCAGGATCGCATCATTACACTCCAGCCTGGGTGACAGAGTGAGATTCTGTCTCAGAAAAAAAAGGGCATTGCCATTATGCCTCAACGAAGACCTCATTTAGTGTTACACATATGAAAATTGTTTTTTTGCTGGGCGCAGTGGCTCAAGCCTGTAATCCCAGCACTTTGGGAGGCCGAGGCGGGTGGATCACGAGGTCAGGAGATCGAGACCATCCTGGTCAACATGGTGAAACCCCGTCTCTACTAAAAATACAAAAATTAGCTGGGCATGGTGGTACACGCCTGTAGTCCCAGCTACTCGGGAGGCTGAGGCGGGAGAATTGCTTGAACCCAGGAGACAGAGGTTGCGGTGAGCCAAGATCGCGCCATTGCACTCCAGCCTGGATAACAAGAGTGAAACTCCATCTTAAAAAAAAAAAAAGAAAAGAAAAGAAAATTGTTTTTTTGCGGCTAAGGGAGAATCTTCCAGTACTCATCCTTCTTTGCTTTTCAGTGTTTCCCCAGTTCCTACTCAGCTCTTCTCTTGTCTTCCATTTAGTGTTGATATAAAACTCACAGGCATTACTGCTTTTAATGCCTTGGTGGGAGGGATCTACTCAGAGAGGGTCTCGTTCGTCCATAATCATGGCTGAAAAAATGCTTTGTAGACTGGATTCCAGTTCTTTTATTTTTATTTTTGCAGAAATGGGGTCTCACTATGTTGCCTAGGGTGGTCTTGAACTTTTAGCCTCAAAGGATCCTCGCCTCAGTGTCCCAAAGTGCTGAGATTACAGGCGTGAGCTGCCTTGTCAAGCTGCCTAGTTTTTATCTATAGGAAAGAGTATCACAGTTTTAATATCCCCACTTACTGGAGTTTTGCTTAATCTTTATGCTGAGGAATCCATTATTTTAAATATGTAATTTATGTTTTTTACTTATTTTTGTTTTATAGAGAGAAGGACTTTCAAAATTCAACAAGATCTATGAATTTGATTATCACCTGTACGGCCAGGTAGGTGCTAAAATATTTCTATCATAAGCAAGAGAAAGTAGCATAGTCATATATAATATGTCACTGTCTTAAGAATAACAATTGTTGCCGGGCGCGGTGGCTCAAGCCTGTAATCCCAGCACTTTGGGAGGCCGAGGCGGGTGGATCACGAGGTCAAGAGATCGAGACCATCCTGGTCAACATGGTGAAACCCCGTCTCTACTAAAGGTGCAAAAAATTAGCTGGGCATGGTGGTGCGTGCCTGTAATCCCAGCTACTCCAGAGGCTGAGGCAGGAGAATTGCCTGAACCCAGGAGGCGGAGGTTGCGGTGAGCCGAGATTGCGCCATTGCACTCCAGCCTGGGTAACGAGCGAAACTCCGTCTCAAAAAAAAAAAAAAAAAAAAAAAAAAGAATAACAATTGTTAACTTAAAGATAACTGGTTATAGGTGATCACTTTATAATTTATGAGGAAGTCTCTTTTTAGTAAAATATGGTCTCATCTCAGCTCTTTATTGCCAAAAAAAAAAGCTAATATACAATAGTTTGAGGAAAATTTAAGTGATACAAAAGGCATCATGGTACTAGAATTAGAACGATGACTGTATTCCTATGGCTTTTGGCTTTGAAGAGCTGTATTAATGTTTGTTCCTTCCCAATGTTTGTTTGTGTGTTTTAAATGCCTTTAATAGAAGTTCCTCCCTCTCATTTGAATGACTTGGCAAAATATAACTGCAAAAAGACTAACTGAATTTTGAATTTTGTCATTATTCAGAATGTTACCATGGTAATGACTTCAGTTTCTGGACATTTACTGGCTCATGATTTCCAGATGCAGTTTCGAAAATGGTCAGTACAATTCTCAAGGGAAGGACTTTCAGATTATAGTAAGTTGTGAAATTGCACAGGAATTTTGAGGCATGTTGATCTTACTGGGTAATTTTGGTCGGGGAGGGGTGGGGACAGAGTCTTGCTCTGTTGCCCAGGCTATGGGCTAGAGTGCAGTGGCCCAATCTTGTCTCACTGCAGCCTCTGTCTCCTGTGTAAAAGTGAGTCTTGTGCCTCAGTTTCCCAAGTAACTGGTACCACAGCTGTGTGCCACCACACCCAGCTAATTTTTTCTATTGTAGTAGAGATGGAGTTTCACTGTGTTGCCCAGGCTGGTCTCAAACCCTGCCTTGGCCTCCCAAAGTGCTAGGATTACATGTGTGAGCCACTGTGCCTTGGTAATTTATAATACTAAGATGACCTAGCATTATCTGATCCATTGTGAATTTTTATTAAATCTTTAAGCAGTTACTTTTGGTGTTTCCTCAAAATTACCAGACCTTTTTTATGCAGCCATTGGATTGCATTTACCTGTGAAAGGACTCTAGAATGCCATCTTCTCAGTCCTATTCACAGTGTGTCATGTAGAGGGTCATAGCCTTATTTCAATTCCCCGGGACCTTTTTTATTGGGGATCCACCATGAGCCCATTGAAACAGTTTGCTGTCATTAGGTTCGAGGGCTGTCCATCATGTACTGAGTTGGGACTCTGTTTTCATTTCTAGGCAGAGCTGCAACCCTCTTGTCCTCTTTGAAGCAGAAATTGAAAAGTACTGCCCAGAGAATTTTGTTGACATCAAGGTAAGATCTTTTGGAAGACATATGGCACTGAACAACTGCAAAGAGTCAAATGGAATGATTTCTGTATTTTCAATAAATTGGCATTTGGAGATAAGGTTTTCCACCAAACTCACTACCATTATTTAAAAAGCTAGTTTGCACTCATTGTATAAATATGGCTAAGTGGCCAAGGAACTGAAGTAAGCATTTTTTTATGAATAGTAGTTGTTTAAATCCTAGGTATAAGGGCTGGACATGGTGGTTCACACCTGTAATCCCAGCACTTTGTGGGGCCAAGCCAGGATCACATGAACCCCAGGAGTTTGAGACAAGCCTTGGCAACATAGTGAGACCCTGTCTCTCCCCCGCCCCCCCCCCAAAAAAAAAAAATTAACCAAGCATGGTGATGTACGCCTATAGTCCCATCTCTAGTAAGGCTGATGAAAGAGGATTACATGAGCCCAGGAGGCAGGAGGAGGTCAAGGCTGCAGTGGGCTGTGATTGCACCACCACACTCCAGCCTGATAAGAAAGTGAGACCCCATCTCAAAAAATGATCCTAGGAATAAGTATTGTAAATTATTAGTGTAGCCACCATCTCCCCCGCCTCGTTAGATGGAAGAGGCTACAAAGTATAAATACCTGTTTGACAGTAAATTACCGGTTGTCAAGCAGTCAGGGCATGCATAGTTAATTTACTGAGAACTGAGAAACCATTGGATGAAACTCAATTGAGATTCATTTTCATTCATTTCATAATCAAAACCTCTCAAGGGGGTGTGTGTGTCTGTGTGTGTGTGTTAGAGCTGAATTTTAAGTTTTGTCATATTGGGGAAATTATATTAAATCCTCTATTCTAGAAATTCATTTACGGTTCTGAGGAGTTGTGTCATCATTAGCACCAATGAGAGCGGTTTTCTCTGATCTCTTTCCCTCGCCAAATTGGCACAGTCCAAGAACAGCATTAACCTAGGTCAGATCCCCTTAGCATAGAGGTGTCAAATCACTGTTCTGCAATTCTGTTCTCACCACTTATTCCACTATGAACTTCAGAAAACTCTGGAGCGAGAGACTCGCCAGTGCCAGGCTTTGGTGATCTGGACTGACTGTGATAGAGAAGGTGAAAACATTGGTTTTGAGATTATCCACGTATGTAAGGCGGGTAAGTGCTGCTGCTGCTGACTTTCTCTACTTCAGAATTCCATAAATAGAGTATTCTCCTTTGTCTGTGCAAGTGGGCCATGGATGCGTTCCTCTGCAGATACTCTCCCTCCTGGTCTGTGAGTCCATCACTATTTCTGACGACACACTCAGTTTAAAGGTTATGGTGTTTTTCCTCCTTATCACTGTACACCATTGATTTAACCTAATAGGTAAATTGGGCACCTCACGGCTACTTTACCTTTATTTCAAGGTAGTTTAAGAAAAGTGAGCCCTGTATGATGGAGGGCAGTGTGATTTGACTTTGACCTTGGTAACGCCTTGTGTTCTGCAGTAAAGCCCAGTCTGCAGGTGTTGCGAGCCCGATTCTCTGAGATTACACCCCATGCTGTCAGGACAGCCTGTGAAAACCTGACCGAGCCTGATCAGAGGGTGAGCGATGCTGTGGATGTGAGGCAGGAGCTGGACCTGAGGATCGGTGAGGAGCTGGGCGGACCCCTCTTATGACCATGTTAATGTTGTGTTTTGGGACTAAAACTGGGCTCGATGTAGATGTGTTCAGCCAGCCCTGGCCTCTCATCATCCGTAATTGTCTCCTTTCTTCACTCTCAGGAGCTGCCTTTACTAGGTTCCAGACCCTGCGGCTTCAGAAGATTTTTCCTGAGGTGCTGGCAGAGCAGCTCATCAGTTATGGCAGCTGCCAGTTCCCCACACTTGGCTTTGTGGTGGAGCGGTTCAAAGCCATTCAGGCTTTTGTACCAGAAATCTTCCACAGGATTAAAGGTAGGGCCTGGGGTAAGGGTTATGGCCTGGGACCTATAGGCCCAATATTAAGGTGGGGGACTGTGAGCATTAATAGCAATGCTAGGCCAAGCACAGTGACTCACACCTGTAATCCCAGCACTTTGGGAGGCTGAGGCAGGCAGATCACTTGAGGTCAGGAGTTCAAAACCAGCCTGGACAACGTGGTGAAACCCCATCTCTACTAAAAATACTAAAATTAGCTGGGCGTGGTAGCATGCGCCTATAATCTCAGCTACTCAGGAGACTGAGGCAGGAGATTTGCTTGAACCTGGGAGGCGGAGGTTGCAGTGAGCTGAGATCGCACCATTGCACTCCAGCCTGGGTGACAGAGCAAAACTCTGTAAAAAAAAAAAAAATAGCGACCGGGCGCGGTGGCTCAAGCCTGTAATCCCAGCACTTTGGGAGGCTGAGGCGGGTGGATCACAAGGTCGAGAGATCGAGACCAACCTGGTCAACGTGGTGAAACCCCGTCTCTACTAAAAATACAAAAGATTAGCTGGGCATGGTGGCGCGTGCCTATAATCCCAGCTACTCAGGAGGCTGAGGCAGGAGAACTGCCTGAACCCAGGAGGCAGAGTTTGCGGTGAGCCGAGATCGCGCCATTGCACTCCAGCCTGGGTAACAAGAGTGAAACTCCGTCTCGGGAAAAAAAAAAAAAAATAGCAGCCGGGCGCGGTGGCTCACGCCTGTAATCTCAGCACTTTGGGAGGCCGAGGTGGGTGGATCACGAGGTCAAGAGATCAAGACCATCCTGGTCAACATGGTGAAACCCCCTCTCTATCTACTAAAAATACAAAAAATTAGCTGGGCATGATGACGCATGCCTGTAATCCCAGCTACTCAGGAGGTTGAGGCAGGAGAATCGCCTGAACCCAGGAGGCGGAGGTTGTGGTGAGCTGAGATCGCTCCATTGCACTGGGTACTCCATTGCCTGGGTAATAAGAGCGAAACTCCGTCTCAAAAAAAAAAGAAAAAAAAATAGCAATAATAAAGATGTGATTTATTTTAGTCTTGCTGTCGTCTTCCCGGGCCCATTACAATCCACTTAAAGTTCCCTTTCTTATCCAGAAACTCCTCTCTATTCAATACTCCTTTGACTTTCACCATAATATACCTTCTATCTGTCACATCATGTGGCTTCTCTGAGATACAGCCTTTCTGTTTGTCTCTCCTTAATACAGTAACTCATGACCACAAAGATGGTATCGTAGAATTCAACTGGAAAAGGCATCGACTCTTTAACCACACGGCGTGCCTAGTTCTCTATCAGTTGTGTATGGAGGTAAGATGTCCTTCAGACCCTGATCATCTAGGAAACATTCTGCACACCTCCCAAGCCACTCCCCATCTGTTGGCAGAGGCGATCCTGTCACATTCTCCCATTGGAATTTAGCTTTAAGTTTGCATCTCAGGGGGGATCACTTTTTGGGGACCAATAAGACTAGAACCCCATGAAAACAGCACTAAAAGAATGGAAGGATCTGCATTATTTTTAGATAAAATCAGAAAATTTGAGAAATGTATAGTTGAACTCCCACCTTGTGGCATATACTGTCACCAGAAATTAGCAAGGATCTACTAGACCAGTCCAGATCATGGACTTAAAGAGCTAGGAGAGAGTGGACAGCATTTGGTTCAGCCCCCTCTTTATTGGTTGCATGAGGAAATCTAGAGAGGTGAAAGTCACAAATTAATGGGTTAATTTTATATATTGATAAAAGCTAGGAAGAAAATAAAGCAACATAAAGGGATAGAGAAAGGCTGGAGGGACAGGGTGACATTTGAGCAGAGGTTGGAATGACTCAGGAGAGGGTTGGGGAGTAGGTGGGACACCCATGTGCCATAGAAGGGAGCAAGACTGGCCCAGGCCATAGGCTGGTCGGTGGCAGAGTTGGGACTCACCCTAATGTTTCCTGGCCCTTGGGCTGGTTGTCTACTTTCTATTAGTCAGCACATAACAGCTTGGTTTGACCCAGAGGCCGCACAGAGTCATGCTTAAGTAAAATTCTGAGCTCTCTATGCTTAATTCATGTGTGCTTCTTGGCTGTAGCCCACTGGCGGATTTGTTACTAATTAGGCAAGGGGAGTGATAACTGTGCAGCACCTGGTATGGATCAGGCACACTTTATTATGTGTCGTTTTGTTTAATCCTGATAATGCCTGTGAAGGCAGTAATAGCATCCCCATTTTCCAGAAGAGGAAGCTAAAGAGAGAGTGACTTACCCACAGACATGTGAGACTGTACATGGCATGGCACAACTGGATTCCAGTGTGTCCCTGACCCTTTTGCAGACCATACTGCCTTCCCCATCTCTCTCTCACTCCACCTTTTGACCCTGGACCACTGGGAGTCTCTGTGACACTGCACAATTGTTTGTTAAATAAAAAGACCACCGCCAGACATGGTGGCTCATGCCTGTAATCCCAGCACTTTGGGAGGATGAGGTATGTGTATCACCTGAGCTTGGGAGTTTGAGACCAACCTGCCCAACATGGAGAAACCCCATCTCTACTAGAAATACAAAATTAGCCGGGCATGGTGGCAAGCACCTGTAATCCCAGCTGTTTCGGAGGCTGAGGCAGGAGAAGGCAGGAGGCGGAGGTTGCTGTGAGCTGAGATGGCACCATTGCACTCCAGCCCAGGCAACAAGAGTGAAACTCCATCTCAAAAAATAAAAAGATCACCAGCCTGGGTTACATGGTGAAACCCCATCTCTCCAAAAAAGAAAATCAAAATAGATGGACGTGGTATCACTTGCATATAGTTTCATCTACGTGGGAGGTTGAGGTGAGAGCATTGCCTGAGCCCGGCAGGTTGAGGCTGCAGTGAGCCATGATTGTGCTGCTGTACTTCAGTCTGGGTGACAGAATGAGACACTGCCTCAAAAAAAAAAAAAGGACCAACTTAATAATAAAATATGAAATAAGTAAATAATAAAAAGACCTGCCCTGTTTCTCCTTCACTTGGATGTGGTGCAGGAACACATGATGGGTGATACAAATTATGAGGCTGGTTTTAAGATTAAAGGTCTCCAGCTTGTATTGTATAATTTCTCCTATTTCTAACTGTATTTTTTTTTTTTTTTTTTTAAGGAGCACTGGGCCAAGCATGGTGACTCATGCTTGTAATCCCAGCATTTCTGGAGGCTAAGACAGGAATATTGCTTGAGCCCAGGACTTCTGGGCCAGCCTGGGCAACATAGCAAGACCCCATCTCTATATTTTAAACATAACAACAAAAAGAGCACTGTGCATGTGTACATAGAGAACTATATTCAGGCAATGCATAGGCTGTTGGCTTTCATAGGCTCTGGAGGAAGCACCTTAAGGCTTGTGAAATTGCCCTTCACAGTCTTGGTTTGATTTGGACAGTAGTGATGGTGTCCACCATACTGTCAGCTACAAGCAACATTAAATGGTCACTCCCTTGGACTGTCACTGTGGGTTCAGCTTGTGATCAGTGATTTGGAAGGATGGGCATGTGCTGTCCGCAGGAAGTTCGGAGATAATGCACTAACAATTAACATGGTCTTTGCTTTCCTGGCTTTCTAGGATCCCATGGCAACTGTGGTAGAGGTCAGATCTAAGCCCAAGAGCAAGTGGCGGCCTCAAGCTTTGGACACTGTGGTATGTTCTGGACAGGCTGTTTCAGGCACTGAGGGATCAATTATTTTCGTTTTGGGGCCATGGTTCTACTGCCTAGACTCTGACCTGGTGGAAGGAAATATCACCCATCAGCAGGCCACACAAGAAAAACACTTGAGAAAGACACATTTAGCCTCACTATTTTTGTTTGTTTGTTTTGTAGACTCAAACTCCTGGGCTCAAGTGATCCTCCCGCCTCAGCCTCCCAAGTAACTGGGACTGTAGGGCATGTGCCACCATGACCAGCTAAATATTTTTAAAGTTTTTTGTAGAGACGGATTCTCACTATGTTGCTCAGGCTGTTCTCAAACTCCTGGTCTCAAGTAATTCTCCAGCCTCTGCCTCCCGAAGTACTGAGATTACAGGCATGGGCCACCACACCCAACCACTGTTTAGCTTTTTTTTTTTTTAAGTTAAATGCAAGATAACTGCCTTATATGAGGTTTGGGAAACAGAAAAAAGGAAAGACAGCTTACTGCTTTGCTATCCTTACATAATTACTGGTAAAAAGTTAGCAAATGCAATATAACTGCCTTGTATGAGGTTTGGGAAGCAAAAAAAGGGAAAGACAACTTACTACTTTGCTATCCTTACATAATTACTGGTATCTTCCTGTTTTTTAATATGCATATTTTTACAGCATTGTAATTAGATAGAGAGCTTGCACTCAACCATTTTTTTCATGTTGCTGCATAATCTGTGTAAATATTACTTTAAATAATCTGCTATATGAACCAACTTTAGAACAGGGCTTCCCAAATTGTTTGACTCCAGGAAGAGCCACCCCAACAGAACACAAGTCTAAATAGCATTAGGAGTGTGCCTTCCCAATTACCACTTAGCAGGAAAATTTGGAATAAAATTACTATCAGAATTCACTCGGAAGGCTGGACATACAGAACACTCAGGCTAGCAATTATGGAGGCTAAGAAGCATGCAGGGACTGGTGGACAGTGCGTTCTTTGTCTTGGGTAAGCCACAGTAAATATGTATGTGTGTGAAGGGACTGCATGGGGGAAGTTAGGCATTGATTTTATATAGTAGGCATATATGTTTTAGTCCTCACTGGTTAAGTGTGCTTTAGTGTGACATTGGCATTGTTAGCTTGTCACCTAGGGAAAAGGACAGCTGGTTATCCTCCAGGAGGCCTCCTGGGGTTTTTACCCTCCAAGAGAATTTACTGGGTGGTATTCCCAAAGTTCGATTCTCAGACTATCTGTGTTAGAACAGTATATTAGACTCCTTGTTTAAAAAGTATATTTATTGGCCAGATGTGGTGGCTCACGCCTGTAATCCCAGCACTTTGGGAGGCCAAGGTGGGCAGATCACCTGAGGTCAGGAATTTGAGACCTGCCCGGCCAACATGGTGAAACCCGTTTTCCACTAAAAACACAAAATTAGCTAGCCATGATGGATTCCTGTAATCCCAGTTACTTGGGAGATTGAGACAGGAGAATTGCTTGAACCCAGGAGGCAGAGATTGCATTGAGCCGAGATCATATGCCACTGTACTCCAGCCTGGGCGACAGAGTGAGATTCCGTCTCAAAAAAAAAAAAGTGTGGATTTCTGGCCAGGGATGGTGGCTCATGCCTGTAATCTCAATACTTGGAGGCTGAGGTGGGCACATCACCTGAGGTCGGGAATTCAAGACCAGCCAGGCCAACATGGTGAAACCCCATCTCTACTAAAAATACAAAAATTAGCCAGGCATGGGTTTGGGCACCTGCAATCACAACTACTCAGGAGTCTGAGGCAAGAAAATCACCTAAACCCAGGAGGCGGAAGTTGTGGCGGATCGAGATCATGCCACTGCACTCTAGCCTGAGCCACAGGGCAAGACTCCGTCTCAAAAAAAAATGTGGATTTTGGGGTTGGGTATGGTAGCTCACGCTTGTGATCCTAGCACTTTGGGAGGCCAAGGTGTGAGGATTGCTTGAGGCCAGGAGTTCAAGATCAGCCTGAAGATAGCAAGACCCTAAGACCCTAGCATGAAGCCTCATGTGCATGTGTTCGCGCACGTGCGCGCTCGCTCGCTCTCTCTCTCTCTCTCTCTCTCTCTCTCTGCAGATTTAAGCTTATGTCCCAGCCCTGCTCTGTCAGCTTCCCCAGTGGTCAGGGACCCTAATCTATCTGCTTCCCAGGTGAATCCTGCACACATTAAAGTCTAAGAACCAGACTAAGATCTGACTCTGCCTGGCAGACCCAGGAATTGTTCTCAGGCAGTCTTTTCCCCTCCGTTTGACAGAAGTACCTAGAGTGACAGGGGCCAGACTTGACTAAAGATGAGTTGTGTATTTGAGTTATGCTGCCTGACCCATGCAGTACACCTAACATGGCTGTTGACCCATTTTACAGGAGCTTGAGAAACTGGCTTCTCGAAAGTTGAGAATAAATGCTAAAGAAACCATGAGGATTGCTGAGAAGCTCTACACTCAAGGGTAAATATTATGGATTTGGGAGTAGAATTTGAACCATCTTTATCAGGATGAAATATTTTAGACATAGAGTTTATGGGGAAAAACAGATTGTGTAGATAGCACCTGAGCTCTGAGGCAGGATTTTGACTTTGACTTCTCTTTTCTGATATGGAAAAGCTGTTTCTATATAAGAACCCAGAGAGTGAATTCAGATACTACTTTTGACTCCCCAGCCGTCTCCCTGTGGCCCTGGTGAGCGGCAGACAGTGAGTGGCACCTTTGAGAGTTGTTTGCCTGTGAAACCCTCCCCGCCCCAGTCATGCATACCCCAGCACTGAGGTCCTCTAACTGTGCTGTCCAGCCTGCATGTACTGAACAGTTGAAATTCAAGTTGTCCAAATTGGACTGTGCTGTAGATATAAAATAAACACTGAGTTTTGAAGACTTTTATGAATATAGAATATAAACTATCTCAGTAACTTAAGTGACTAATTGACAATTTAAAATTACAAATAGAGGCTGGGTATGCTGGCTCACACCTGAAATCCGAGCACTTTGGGAGGCTTAGGTGGGAGGATTGCTTGAGCTCAGGAATTCAAGACCAACCTGGGCAGCATGGCAAAACCCTATCTCTACAAAAAATGAAAATTAGCCAGACATGGTGCCACACACCTGTAGTCTCAGCCCTTCAGGAGCCTGAGGTAGGAGGATCACCTGAGCTTGGGAGGTGGAGGCCGCAGTAAGCCAAGATCATGCCGCTATACTCCAGCCTGGGCGCCAGAGCAAGATTGTCTTAAAAGAAAAAGAAAAAACAAATGGAGTTCACAGTATAGTTTTATCGGACGGTGTTATTCTTTGTATCCTCTAAGAAAAGTCTCAAAGCACACGCTGGTGGAACTTGTCAGGAGCAGTGAAGCTCATGTGCTACATCCAGGTTGGTCTGTCAGACTGACCCTCAGAGCGGCCAGTGATGAGAAACCCCAGGCTATGAGGCGGCTGGCCTTTATCCTGTGCTATGCTGTCCCTTTTGTTTCTCCTTTGGCTTCTTTGAGTGTCCTAGCAGGAGAGCTAGCTGCTTTTCACCCCATGAAGGGGTGCGTCTCATCTCAACTTGCCTGGATCAGGTAACCTAGACTGCCTTCAGTAGAGCTGGCTACATCAGATGGGTGTTTGCAGGTGTTAGTGGGTGCTTTCAGTTGTTTATAGACCAGTCAGTGAGCCTAGCAATTTATTTTTCTGTTTGTTTGCCTTGGTTTTAGGTACATCAGCTATCCCCGAACAGAAACAAACATTTTTCCCAGAGACTTAAACCTGACGGTGTTGGTGGAACAGCAGACCCCCGATCCACGGTGGGGGGCCTTTGCCCAGAGCATTCTAGAGCGGGGTGGTCCCACCCCACGCAATGGGAACAAGTCTGACCAAGCTCACCCTCCCATTCACCCAACCAAATACACCAACAGCTTACAGGTTGGTTTCCCTGAATGTGCTGCCTGCTGGAACCCAGATGGAAGTGCCGGGGGTCAGTAGTAGGACTTGAATTTACTCTGTGAGCTCTGATTATAGAAACAAGTGATTTTGAGATCTCTCTCATTTCACTATCCTCTGCCTGGCTTTCATGAAAGACCGCTTCATCCCTCACCATCGTGGGCCCCCTTTTTAATCCAGCCCACGTCCCTACTCTCCATCAGCTCCTGCTGATTTCCTGCTGGTACTTCATAGGCAACCTAGGTGCCTCACCTCTGCATACCCCTGTGCAGACCCGTGAGCGTTGTGGCCTTTCCAGTCCCTGGAACTAGAGTTCTATCCGTCTTCCCAAGACTGACTCAGTTTTGATTGCCTCCTGAAACTTTGCTGCCACCCCAGTTGTGCCACCCCCGTCACTGCAGTGTCCCACTCAGCTCTGCTTGTCAGTCTCAGTCGTTTCCTCAGCTGGGGGCAGGCTCTGCTAGCACAGGAGCCATTAGGCTTGTTTACATCTGTAGGCTTCTCACAAAGCTGGGGAAATCTTAGTCTTTTTCTATTCTCCTTCTTTTATTGTTTGCCTGGCACTCCATGTTAGTGCAGAGCCTGAGAAGCAGTGTGGCCTGTTCTCTGCAGAACATTAGGCTAAGGCTACCAGCGATGTTCCTGTCCTTGAGATGTGATATTCTAGGGATAATTTCAGTCTCCTCTTTTCTTCCTAGGGAGATGAACAGCGACTGTATGAGTTTATTGTTCGCCATTTCCTGGCTTGCTGCTCCCAGGACGCTCAGGGGCAGGAGACCACAGTGGAGATCGACATCGCTCAGGAACGCTTTGTGGCCCATGGACTCATGATTCTGGCCCGAAACTATCTGGACGTGTATCCATATGATCACTGGAGTGACAAGGTGATAAAGAGGTGGGCCCAGGGAGAGGGAGGACAGTTGTGCTGCCAGCCCAAGCTCTCTAGTGGAGCGGGACCATCTTCCTTGAAATGAGGGTTTCTTTTGCGTGAGTGTGATGATGGAATCACCTGACTGCTGCACCTGCCGCTCCCTGTAGATCCTCCCTGTCTACGAGCAAGGCTTCCGCTTTCAGCCCAGCACTGTAGAGATGGTGGATGGGGAGACCAGCCCGCCCAAGCTGCTCACCGAGGCCGACCTCATTGCCCTCATGGAGAAGCACGGCATTGGTCAGTGGCTCCTCTGGGTAACTCATATCTCTTGAGCACTTACTGTGTACTAGGCACAGATTTCCTCTCGTCTTCAAACAATTCTGTAATGCAGGTGCTATATCCTTATCCCCATTTTATAGTTGAAATAAGGCTAAGGTTAAAAACTTACCTAAGGTCACAAACTGTATGGTGTTTTTTTTTTTTTTTTTTTTTTTGAGACGGAGTATCGCTCTTGTTACCCAGGCTGGAGTGCAATGGCGCGGTCTCGGCTCACCGCAACCTCCGCCTCCTGGGTTCAGGCAATTTTCCTGCCTCAGCCTCCTCAGTAGCTGGGATTACAGGCACCCGCCACCATGCCCAGCTAATTTTTTGTATTTTTAGTAGAGACAGGGTTTCACCATGTTGACCAAGATGGTCTCGATCTCTTGACCTCGTGATCCACCCACCTCGGCCTCCCAAAGTGCTGGGATTACAGGTGCGAGCCACCGCGCCCGGCCACAAAGTGTGTTATTAAAACCTGGTCGATATAATTCCATAGTCAGTGCTCTTAAACCATGCACTCTGCTATCCACATAGCAACAGAGGCTTTTCCCCTGACTCTAGGCCCAGCTGGGAGAACCCTTTGGCCACATGGGGATTTATTGTTCTTTGAGTAAGAATAGAATGTCAGGTACCAGCTGTTAAAACTTGGGACACTAATCATAAAATCTGTCTTCATTTTAAAGTGTCATATCTGGCATCCCTGAGCCTCCTTCCTATGTGGAGCAGTGGGTGAGGGTGGCAGCTGTCTCTGCAGGCCTGCTCCCATACTACTCAGGCTGCTCACAGTGGCCTCATGTACGTGGCAGAACACTGCTGTTAGCTATGGGTGGCTGGATTCTTAGCTTTTTGTTGAAGCATTTCCCATAATTGCTTAGGAATCAGAAACTAAAACACTGAGCCAAAATTGTGTTATTCCCATTAAGTCCCATGGCTCAATCTTTACAGGTAGGTCCTTGTGACTAATCTGCTGTCCCCTCCATTCGTTTTTGTCAAGGCTCTCAAGGGCTTTCTCTGGCAAACCTAGTCCAGACACACCCACAGCACAGTCGAGGGGAAGCAGAGCTCCCTGGGCATGTGTTACATAAGCAGCTGCCTCATCCACAAAGGGTGTTTCTTAGTCCTCTGACTTAGGAAGCAGTGTTCCACTGTGGAGTCCTTGACCATCGCTAGGACATATAGAAACCCTGCAGGTTTAGGTAAAATTGGTGGAGGTCACCCATCATGGTTTATTTAATAAATACGAGGTCAGGTGCGGTGGCTCACACCTATAATCCCAGCACTTTATTTTTTTATTTTTTATTTTTTGAGACGGAGTTTCGCTCTTGTTACCCAGGCTGGACTGCAATGGCGCGATCTCAGCTCACCGCAACCTCCGCTTCCTGGGTTCAGGCAATTCTCCTGCCTCAGCCTCCTGAGTAGCTGGGATTACAGGCATGCGCCACCATGCCCAGCTAATTTTTTGTACTTTTAGTAGAGACGGGGTTTCACCATGTTGACCAGGATGGTCTCGATCTCTCGACCTCGTGATCCACCCGCCTCGGCCTCCCTAAGTGCTGGGATTACAGGCTTGAGCCACCGCGCCCGGCCCCCCAGCACTTTAGGAAGCTAACACATATGAGTCACTTGAGCCCAGGAGTTCAAGACCAGCCTGGGCAATATGGCAAAACCCCATCTTGCTGGGTGTGGTGGCTGACGCCTATAATCCCAGCACTTTGGGAGGTCAAAGTGGGTGTATCACTTGAGGTAGGGAGTTTGAGACCACCAGCCTGGTCAACATGGCAAAACCCTGTCCCTACTAAAACTACAAAAATTACCCAGGCATGGTGGTGGGCACCTGTAATCCTGGCTACTCAGGAGGCTGAAGCAGGAGAATCACATGAATCCTGAAGGTGGAGGGTGCAGTGAGCCAAGATCACGCCCCTGCACTCCAGGCTGGGCAACAGAGTGGGATTCCATCTCAAAAAAAAAACCATTCCTACAAAAAATTAGGTACATGCCTGTAGGGAGACTGAGGTAGGAGGGTCACTTGAGCCCAGGAGGCAGAGGCTGAGGTAAACTGAGATTGTGCCACTGCACTCCAGCCTGGGCAACAGAGCAAGACCCTGTCTCAAAAAAAAAAAAAAAAGGAAAAAGTAAAAGGCTCACAAGAGTGGGAGCATAAACTAGGCACCAGGGACACAAATGAATAAAACCTCATTTTTTGAGTTCTCAATCTAACAGAAGAACCAAACCAAACCAGCACATTGAATACACTGCAATGGGTTCTGCAGGGAGTAGGCAGGGAAGAAAATGTCGTGGGTGGGCTGGCATTTCAGCGGCACCAAAAACACGTAGTAAGACTTCTGGATCAGTGCAGGGCAGCCCAGTGTAGGGCAGGTCTGAGGAAGGGCACAGGAGCAGGAAAGCAAAAGCCTGCTATAGCTGGAGTGGGGGTGGTGGCCATAGAAGGGGAAACTGGAAAAGTGATTCAGGCCTGACTTTGCAGGGCCTTGGCTTGTCCAGGTGAGGGGCTTAGATGCTGGTACATGGCCAGCAGGGAGACTTCTAGAATTTCTTTCTTGCTCTGTCACCCAGGCTGGAGTGCAGTGGCGAGATCTCAGCTCACTGCAACCTCCGCCTTCTGGGTTCTTGCAGTTCACCTGCCTCAGCCTCCTGAGTAGCTGGGACTGCAGAATCACGCTGCCACGCCTGGCTAATTTTTTGTATTTTAGTAGAGACGAGGTTTCACCGTGTTGCCCAGGCTGGCCTCAAACTCCTGAGTTCAGACAGTCCGCCCACCTTGGCCTCCCAAAGTGCTGGGATTACAGGCATGAGCCAGACTTCTAGGATTTCTAAGTAAAGGAACCATATAGAGGTACACTTAAAACAAACCAAAATAATATTTTAAAAAGATTATTAACAGGATGGGCGTGGCATCTCACACCTATAATCCCAGCACTTTGGGAGGCCGAGGTGGGCGGATCACTTGAGGTCAGGAGTTCAAAACCAGCCTAGACAACATGGTGAAACCCCATTTCTACTAAAAATACTAAAATTAGCTGGGTGTGATGGCTGACACCTATAATCCCAGCTGCTCAGGAGGCTGAGGCAGGAGAATCACTTGAACCCAGGAGGTGGAGGCTGCAGTGAGTCAAGATCGTACCACTACACTCCCAGCTTGGGCGACAGAGTAAGACTCTGTCTCAAAAAGAAAGAAAGAAAGATTATTAACAGCTTTATTCACATACCATCCAGTTTACCTGCTTCAAATGAATAATTCACATTTTTTAGCATATTCACAAAGTTGTGCAGCTGTCACCACAGTCAGTTTTAGAACATTTTCACCACCTCAGAAAGAAATCCCATACCCTTTAGCAGTCACTCCCCATTTCCCCCTCCCACTAATCCTCCCAGCCCTAGGCAACCACTCATTTTTCTGACTTAATAGATTTGCCCTTTTTTTTTTTTTTTTTTGAGACAGAGTTTTGCTCTTGTTACCCAGGCTGGAGTGCAATGGCGCGATCTCGGCTCACCGCAACCTCCGCCTCCTGGGCTCAGGCAATTCTCCTGCCTCAACCTCCTGAGTAGCTGGGATTACAGGCACGCGCCACCACGCCCAGCTAGTTTTTTGTATTTTTAGTAGAAACGGGGTTTCACCTTGTTGACCAGGATGGTCTCGATCTCTCGACCTCGTGATCCACCCGCCTCGGCCTCCCAAAGTGCTGGGATTACAGGCTTGAGCCACCGCGCCCGGCCGATTTGCCCTTTTTTTAACTAAAAAAAATTTTGTGTGCAATGACACAATCTTGGTTCACCACATCCTCTGCTTATGCGTTCAAGCGATTCTCCTGCCTCAGCCTCCTGAGTAGCTGGGATTACAGGCATGTGCCACCAAGGCCAGCTAATTTTGTATTTTTAGTAGAGATGGCGTTTCTCCACGTTGGTCAGACTGGTCTCAAATTCTTGACCTGAGGTGATCCGCCCACCTCGGCCTCCCAAAGTGCTAGGATTGCAGGCGTAAGCTACCGCACCTGGCCCCTAAATTTTTTTTAGAGAGACAGGATCTTACTCTGTCACCCAGGCTAGGTCACAGCTGTGAATTCCTGGTTTCAAGGGATCCTTCCACCTCAGCCTCCCCAGTAGCTGGGACTACAGGCATGTGTTGCCATGCCCAGCTAACTTTTTTGTTGGCTTTTATTTTTAGACAGTCTCACTCTGTCTTCCAGGCTGGAGTACAGTGGCACAATCTTGGTTCACTGCAACCTCCACCTCCCAGGTTCAAGCGATTCTCCTTCCCCAGTCTCCTGAGTAGCTGGGACTACAGGTGCATGTCACCGGCTAATATTTTTATTTTTAGTAGAGATGGGGTTTCAGTTAGCTAAGCTGATCTCGAACTCCTGACCTCAAATGATCCACCCACCTCGGCCTCCCAAAGTGCAAGAATTACAGGCATGAGCCACCATGCCCAGCCAAGCCATCTTTGTTTTATGTAGGGACAAGGTCTTCCTATGTTGCATAGTCTGGTCTTGAACTTGCAGCCTCAAGCCATCCTCCTACCTCAACCTCTCAAAGTGTTGGAATTACAGGAGTGAGCTGGTGCACCTGGCCAGATTTGCCTACTTTAGATATTTCCTATGAAGTGCCAGGAATGGTGGCTCACGCCTGTAATCCCAGCACTTTGGAAGGCCAAGGTGGGTGGATCACTTGAGGTCAGGAGTTCCAGACCAGCTTCACCAACTTGGTGAAACACCGTCTCTCTACGAAAACTATAAAAATTAGCCGGGCTTGGTGGCAGGCACCTGTAATCCCAGCTACTCAAGAGGCTGAGGCAGGAGAACCCAGAAGGTGAAGGTTGCAGTGAGCTGAGATTATACCATTGCACCCTAGCCTCAGCAAGAGAGCAAGACTGTCTCAGAAATAAATAAGAAAAGAGAATCATATAATGTTTGGCCTTTTGTAACTAACTTTTGCTTAGGACGATGTCTTCAAGCTTCATCTATGTTGTAGCATGTGTCAGAACTTCATTCCTTTGTATTACCAAATAATATTCCATTGTATGTATAGACATTGTCTTTTTCTACTTTCTAGTTGATGGACACTTGAGTTGTTTCCACTCTTTGGCTATAAATAATGCTGCTCTGAACAGTTTTGTACAAGTTTTGTGTGGATATGTGTTTTCATTTCTCTTAGGTAGACTTAGCAGTGGGATTGCTGGTTTACATGGTATCTCTACATTTAACATTTTTGGGAACCACCAAACTTTCCTGAAGCAGTTGTACCATTTTTCATTCCCACCAGCAAAGCAATAGGATTCCAGTTTCTCCACATCCTTACTAACACTTAGTATCATCTCTTTTTTTTATTTTGTTGGTAGGTATGAACTGCTATTTCACTGTATGTGGTTTTTGTTTTTTTTTTAAGATGAAGTCTCACTTGGTCACTCAGGCTGGAGTGTAGTGGCGTGATCTCAGCTCACTGCAGCCTCTGCCTCCCAGGTTCAAGCAGTCCTCCTGCCTCAGCCTCCTGAGTAGCTGAGACTACAGGCACACGCCGCCACACTCGGCTAATTTTTGTATTTTTGATAGAGACAGGGTTTCGCCTTGTTGACCATGCTGGTCTTGAATTCTGACCTGAGGTGACCGCCTGCCTTGGCCTCCCAAAGTGTTGGGATTACAGGCATGAGCCACTGCGCCCAGCCTTCACTGCGATTTTAATTTGCATTTCCTTCATGGCAGAGCTACATTTTGAAAGGTCCCTCTGGCCACAGCTTAAAGAATGGTTTGGGTCAAGGAAGAGACTAGAAATAGGGATACAAGCTGCAACTATGGCTTGGACACATGGGGAGGAAGTTTTTTGTTTTTTTTTTTTTTTTTTTTTTTTTTTTGAGACGGAGTTTTGTTCTTGTTACCCAGGCCGGAGTGCAATGGCGCGATCTCGGCTCACTGCAACCTCCGCCTCCTGGGTTCAGGCAATTCTCCTGCCTCAGCCTCCTGAGTAGCTGGGATTACAGGCACGCACCACCATGCCCACCTAATTTTTTGTATTTTTAGTAGAGACGGGGTTTCACCATGTTGACCAGGATGGTCTCGATCTCTTGACCTCGTGATCCACCCGCCTCGGCCTCCCAAAGTGCTGGGATTACAGGCTTGAGCTACCGCGCCCGGCGGAAGATTTTTAAAAGGAGCTTTCAGGCCGGGTGCGGTGGCTCAAGCCTGTAATCCCAGCACTTTGGGAGGCCGAGGCGGGTGGATCACGAGGTCAAGAGATCGAGACCATCCTGGTCAACATGGTGAAACCCCGTCTCTACTAAAAATACAAAAAATTAGGTGGGCATGGTGGTGCGTGCCTGTAATCCCAGCTACTCAGGAGGCTGAGGCAGGAGAATTGCCTGAACCCAGGAGGCGGAGGTTGCAGTGAGCCGAGATCACGCCATTGCACTCCAGCCTGGGTAACAAAAGTGAAACGCCATCTCAAAAAAAAAAGGAGCTTTCAAGCTAGAATTGACAGCTATCATGAGTAATGGGATGTGAGGGAGCAAGAGAATTGAGGTTGCCATTGTGATTTCTTGAATGAGCATACGGGCTGTCCAGGCAAAGGAGGGGTTCTGGGGTGAGCAAGGTGCCCATGGGCCACCTGGGTGCAGCTGTTGTCTGTATTACCTCAGAATAACCAGAAAATGGCTTCCAGGTACAGATGCCACTCACGCAGAGCACATCGAGACCATCAAAGCCCGGATGTACGTGGGGCTCACCCCAGACAAGCGATTCCTCCCTGGGCACCTGGGCATGGGACTTGTGGAAGGTAAGGGAGGTGGGAGCTTGCAGTGGGTAATGGGTGGTGTCACCCAAGTCCCCGAGGGTCTCAGGTGGGTCCTTACTGAGCACGACTCTTTCCCTGCAGGTTATGATTCCATGGGCTATGAGATGTCTAAGCCTGACCTCCGGGCTGAACTGGAAGCTGATCTGAAGCTGATCTGTGAGGGCAAGAAGGACAAATTTGTGGTTCTAAGGCAGCAAGTGCAAAAATACAAGCAGGTTTTCATTGAAGCAGTGGCTAAAGCAAAGAAGTGAGTGCTTAAAAGAAATAGAAATGGGGCCGGGCGCGGTGGCTCAAGCCTGTAATCCCAGCACTTTGGGAGGCCGAGACGGGTGGATCACAAGGTCAAGAGATCGAGACCATCCTGGTCAACATGGTGAAACCCCGTCTCTACTAAAAATACAAAAAATTAGCTGGGCATGGTGGCGCGTGCCTGTAATCCCAGCTACTCAGGAGGCTGAGGCAGGAGAATTGCCTGAACCCAGGAGGCGGAGGTTGCGGTGAGCCGAGATCGCGCCATTGCACTCCAGCCTGGGTAACGAGAGCGAAACTCAGTCTCAAAAAAAAAAAAAAAAAAAAAAAAAAAAGAAATAGAAATGGGTGGCCAGGCATGGTGGCTCATACTTGTAATTTTAGCAGTTTGGGAGGCTGATGTGGGCAGATCACAAGGTCAGGAGATCGAGACCATACTGACTAACACAGTGAAACCCCGTCTCTACTAAAAATACAAAAAATGCCAGGCGCGGTGGCTCAAACCTGTAATCCCAGCACTTTGGGAGGCCGAGGCGGGTGGATCACGAGGTCAAGAGATCGAGACCATCCTGGTCAACATGGTGAAACCCCGTCTCTACTAAAAATACAAAAAATTAGCTGGGCATGGTGGCACGTGCCTGTAATCCCAGCTACTCAGGAGGCTGAGGCAGGAGAATTGCCTGAACCCAGGAGGCGGAGGTTGCGGTGAGCCGAGATCGCGCCATTGCACTCCAGCCTGGGTAACAAGAGTGAAACTCTGTCTCAAAAAAAAAAAAAAAAAAAAAAATTAGCCAGGTGTGGTGGCATGTGCCTGTAGTCCTCGCTACTCAGGAGGCTGAGGCAGGAGAATTGCTTGAACCCGGGAGGTGGAGGTTGCAGTGAGCCAAGATGGTGCCACTTTATTCCAGCCTGGATGACAGAGCGAGACTCCCTCTATTAAAAAAAAAAAAAAAAAAGAGAGAGAGAAAAGAAAGAAATGGAGATGGGGTCTCACTTACTTGCTATGTTGCCCAGGCTAGTCTTGAACTCCTGGCCTCGAGATCTTCCCACCTCGGCCTCCCAAAGTACTGAGATTATAGGCTTCAGCTACTACACCTGGCAAGCTAGTTTAAACTTAATGCAGACAGATACGCCTGGAGTTTGCGCATGGACCCTGTGCAATTTTAGTTTTTCTTTTTTTTTTTTTTTTTTTTGAGATGGAGTTTCGCTCTTGTTACCCAGGCTGGAGTGCAATGGCAGGATCTTGGCTCATCTCAACCTCTGCCTCCCAGGTTCATGCAATTCTGCTGCAGCCTCCCGAGTAGCTTGGAACAAGCGTTCCCACCATGCCCGGCTAAATTTTGTATTTTTAGTAGAGATGGGGTTTCTCCGTTTTGGTCAAGCTGGTCTCCAACTCCTGACCTCAGGTGATCTGCTGTCCTTAGCCTCCCAAAGTGCTGGGAGTACAGGCATACAGGCATTAGCCACCACACCCAGCCCAGTTTTACTTTTTTTTTTTTTTTTTTTTGAGACAGAGTTTCGCTCTTGTTACCCAGGCTGGAGTGCGATGGCGCAATCTCGGCTCACCGCAACCTCCGCCTCCTGGGTTCAGGCAATTCTCCTGCCTCAGCCTCCTGAGTAGCTGGGATTACAGGCACGCGCCACCATGCCCAGCTAATGTTTTGTATTTTTAGTAGAGACGGGGTTTCACCATGTTCACCAGGTTGGTCTCGATCTCTTGACCTCATGATCCACCCGCCTCGGCCTCCCAAAGTGCTGGGATTACAGGCTTGAGCCACCGCACCCAGCCCCAGTTTTACTTTTTAATGTGGGGCTGGTGACAAGGCAGAAGTATCTGCCTGAATCTGGACTCTCCTCCTCAGAGTTGGTTAGGCACCAGGGCCCATGATGAGCTCAGTCTTCTCTGCCTGCCGTCTGTTCTGTGCAGGAGGCCTGCAGCTCACTGACCAGCTGGTTCCCATGGTCACGCCTGTTGTGTGCACATATGTTGTAGGTGCCTTTGCAGCAATTGCCGGCTGATGGGTATCTACCTTTGTCTTTTCTTCAGATTGGATGAGGCCTTGGCCCAGTACTTTGGGAATGGAACAGAGGTGGCCCAGCAGGAAGAGATCTACCCAGCCATGCCAGAGCCTATCAGGAAGTGCCCACAGTGCAACAAGGACATGGTCCTCAAAACCAAGAAGAACGGCGGGTCAGTGCTCTGCCTTCTGCCTTCTCCTCTGCTCTCCAGCACCTGCGGTGTTAGTCGCAGCTCTAAAAGGCCCTGCCATCTCACTTACATGGAATCTTTCAAGGCAGGCCTGTGGTTGCCAACCTGCAGGCAAGGTGTTGGCCTAGAAGGTTACCTGGGTGGGATCAGGCCTTTGAGTTGTAAAGCGTTGTGGGAATTCAGAGCAGGCGGGGAACTGAGTGATTATGGGGTTTTTTTGTCCTCTGTGGATAGGACATCATATACCCAATGTGTAACACATGGAGGAGCATGGGCTTCAGATCTAGGTGGGTCTGGGTTCAAATGCCGCTTCTGCGACATATAAGTAGTATGGCCTGAAGCAAGTTCCTAGCCTACTCTGAGCCCCAATTTCTTTTTTTATAAAATAAGGTCAGTACTCACAAGGCTGTGTTAAGGATGAGGATTTGGTGAAAATGGTCAGGACTGTATGCCGCATTGACTGACATGTTGTAGATACACAGCAGATTCTACTTTTCTTCTCTAAGAAGAGTTCTGAATTGGGCCTGAAAAATCTTAACTCCCTTTTGCTTTAAGTATAGTAGACCCGAATGGGCAATTTAGCCTCAGATCAGATTGTTCAAGCCAGTGGCTGGCCACTGAGGAAGTTCATGGGGAAAGATGTGCTGGAGGGGTGGCAGCCATCATTCGTCAGGTGCCGTCCCTCACTGGCATGATGCATGGTAGTGCTCTGTAAGCATTACCTCATCCCATTCTCTCTCTTTTTTTTTTTTTTTTTTTGAGACGGAGTTTTGCTCTTGTTACCCAGGCTGGAGTGCAATGGCGCGATCTCGGCTCACTGCAGCCTCCGCCTCCTGGGCTCAGGCAATTCTCCTGCCTCAGCCTCCTAAGTAGCTGGGATTACAGGCACACGCCACCATGCCCAGCTAATTTTTTTTGCACCTTTAGTAGAGACGGGGTTTCACCATGTTGACCAGGATGGTCTCGATCTCTCGACCTCGTGATCCACCCGCCTCGGCCTCCCAAAGTGCTGGGATTACAGGCTTGAGCCACCGCGCCCGGCCTTTTTTTTTTTTTTTTAAACCTCATTCCATTCTCATAATCCTACCCTGCAAGGCAGGGATTTCTATGCAGCTTAGAGGGCAGAGGTGCCTGCTTGAAGTCAAGCAGCCCTGGTGGGCAGCAAAGGCAGAGTTTGAAACCAGGTTTTCACTGCCTTTCTCCATCCTGCCTGGCCCACCTGGGGCTGCTGTGCTCCTTGCTGCTAAATGAGAAAGGTTTCTCCACTCCTCCTAACCTCCAGCCATCAGTAACCCAGCTGGCCCCAGTGAAGAGAAAGCCACCAGCTCTCAGAAACAAGAGGTCCATAGACCAGACTTGGAAGCAGGTGTCAGAGCTCTTGTCACTCACAGACAGAAGCCAGAGCCACTATAGGCCTAGCCCAATACGTGGGCATATATTTAAGCACTTAATAAATGCTGTTGATGGGTTTTCCTTGCCACCGGCAGGTTTTTGGATTAGTACTCATTGGAGTATAAGGAGAGAGAATACTTACTTTTGTTTTAGCACTGTATTGGAGAATTACTATTATTCTTCTGTTATTCTGTTATTCTCTTGTAATGCTTCTCTGAGTTACTCCAGAAGGTCAGGAGATTATTTTGTGGGATTTGCCACTCCAGGGTTTATCTAATAATTTCCATTTCTGAGACTGTAAATTTCTTATTTAAATGATTGGAGTTTGGGGCTTTTTTTTCTTTGTAGTGTACCCAGGCACACTTAAAGGAATTGGTAAATCACATGCATATTGGCTAGTCAAACCGTAATGTTTCGTGGCTGCAAGGTGTTGAAAAACACTGGCCAGGAGAGATGGGGTTGGGTGGATGGGCAGTGGGTGGGGTGTAGATGTTGCAGGTGAGGCTCTGTCACAAACAGGTGGGTTTCCATTTCTAGCTCCCGTCCCCCCATGCATGCGCATCTCTGGGCAAGTTTCCAGCCCACACCAAGCCACTGCTTACTCACATGCAAACTGAGGGTGCCCCAGACACTGCGCAGACTTGGCATGAGGCAGAAAGGTGAGAATGTGTGAGTGCACAGCACAGGGCCCCTGGTGTCACCTTGGTTGGTTGTTGGTTTTCTAAGTAGAAAGCAGGGTCAGCAATAGCTGCTTTGTGCGTTTGGGATGTGAGAAGGCTCATTTTTCTCAAATCAGTGCTTGTGTCTCCAGTTAACTGTCCTCCAGAAAAGGGAATGTTGTCCTCGGTCATCTGAGGAAAGCTGCCTCGGCCAATGGCCAACGGCTGAGAGCCTGAGAGTGCCTCCTGCACTCCTACCACCTGACATGGCACCTTGTCCCCAGGTTCTACCTCAGCTGCATGGGTTTCCCAGAGTGTCGCTCAGCCATGTGGTTTCCTGACTCGGTGCTGGAGGCCAGCAGGGATGGCAGTGTGTGTCCAGTTTGTCAGCCACACCCTGTGTACAGGTGAGCTGGGTGCCTGAGTCAGGCACCTCCTTTGGAGTGTGCACACTACAGTGCCCATTTTTCCCTTGCTCCTGCCAGAACCCAGAGGGGAATGTCAGGGATTCCACTCAGGCTCTGCAGGGGTGTAGCTGTGTTCTGCAGCAGTCAGGTCAGCAGGCCTGGTCCAGTTCTGTTGTGTTCCATGCTGTCACTGCTTTGGCAGGTATGACCCAGTTGGGAGTGGGCCATGGGCAAAGAAATATATTATTTAAGTTCCTCCAGAAAGCCCACAGCACTAGTGCAATACAGTGGTTCTCAAACTTCTTGGTCACTAGACCCCTAACACTCTGAAGCATCGTTGTGGAGCCAAAAGAACTTTTGTTGTGGGTGGTTTATCCGTATATACCACATGTGAAATTAAAGTAAAAACATCTTTTAAAATATTAATTGGCTGGGCGTGGTGGCTCACACCTGTAATCCCAGCACTTTGGGAGGCCGAGGCGGGTGGATCATGAGGTCAAGAGATCGAGACCATCCTGGTCAATATGGTGAAACCCCATCTCTACTAAAAATACAAAAGATTAGCTGGGTATGGTGCTGCATGCCTGTAATCCCAGCTACTGAGGAGGCTGAGGCATGAAAATTGCCTGAACCCAGGAGGCGGAGGTTGCGGTGAGCCGAGATCACGCCATTGCACTCCAGCCTGGGTAACAAGAGCAAAACTGTGTCTCAAAAAAAAAAAAAATGCCGGGCGCGGTGGCTCAAGCCTGTAATCCCAGCACTTTGGGAGGCCGAGGCGGGTGGATCACGAGGTCGAAAGATCGAGACCATCCTGGTCAACATGGTGAAACACCGTCTCTACTAAAAATAGAAAAAACTAGCTGGGCGTGCTGGCGCGTGCCTGTAATCCCAGCTACTCAGGAGGCTGAGGCAGGAGAATTGCCTGAGCCCAGGAGGCGGAGGTTGCGGTGAGCCGAGATCGCGCCATTGCACTCCAGCCTGGGTAACAAGAGCGAAACTCTGTCTCAAAAAAAAAAAAAAAAAAAAAAAAAAATTTAATCTATTTCTAGTAAATGCATTGCATACTACTGTAAATAACATGTTTTTTAGGGTGATAAAATACCTGTTTTCCAAAGCAAAATAATAATAATGACATGGATGACACTGTTTTTTACATTTTGGAATTCACATGTCTGGCTTAATAGGAGAGAGCTGGATTCCCATATCTGCTTCTGCAGTCAGTCTGCTGAGTCATTGTGTGTTCTAGAAGCTCTGGAAAACTCCATTGTGTACACACAGAAGAATGAGAGCAAAATAGATATAACCTCTTAGAATTACTATAAAATAGTTTGGCCCTCTCCTTGAAAGGGCTCAGGCACCTCAGAACCACACTTGGATAACTGCTGGTATAGAGACATGGAACTTTCCAGAGGTGTTTTTATTTTGGTGAATTATCTTAGATTTCATCTGCACTGCTTCCCACTGTCCACTCCTGTGATGACTGGCGGGGCCTTGTGGTGGGCTGATGGAGGGCCTCACAGGGCCCTGCGTGGGCTTCCTGATACATAAGGAGTGGTGGAGAGAGGCCTAGGGCTAAAGTAGCCCTCAGTGGACTAAGAAGAAACTGGCACCTGGTTATTAATTTTTTTCTCATCTTCTGGCCTTACTAGGTTGAAGTTAAAGTTTAAGCGTGGTAGCCTTCCCCCGACCATGCCTCTGGAGTTTGTTTGCTGCATCGGAGGATGTGATGAGACCCTGAGGGAGATCCTGGACCTAAGATTTTCACGGGGCCCCCCAAGGGCTAGCCAGCCCTCTGGCCGCCTGCAGGCCAACCAGTCCCTGAACAGGATGGACAGCAGCCACCACCCCCAGCCTTCTGACGGCAGACAGACTGGGCCCTCAAGGGCTCTGGCCTGGACCCTCCCACCACCCACGGCTGCCGGTGAAAGCAACTCAGTGACCTGCAACTGTGGCCAGGAGGCTGTGCTGCTCACTGTCCGTAAGGAGGGCCCCAACCAGGGCCGGCAATTCTTTAAGTGCAACACGGGTAGCTGCAACTTCTTCCTGTGGGCAGACAGCCCCAATCTGGGAGCAGGAGAGCCGCCCACCTCAGCATATAGACCCTTAGGTGGCTCGCTGGGACGCCCACCAGGTCCAGGGACCCACCTGGGTGGGTTTGGCAACCCTGGTGATGGCAGTGGTAATGGCATATCCTGCCTGTGTAGCCAGCCCACCGTCAAACGGACTGTGCAGAAGGATGGGCCCAATAAGGGGCGCCAGTTCCACACATGTGCCAAGCCGAGAGAGCAACAGTGTGGCTTCTTCCAGTGGGTCGATGAGAACATGGCTCCAGGTGAGGCAGGGAGGGGCATGTGATTTACTTCCTTGGGTTTTCAGGGTGTCTCTACCTCAGACTAGGAAAGCAGAAATAAGGCAAGGCAGGGTCATGGTGGGATTGGGAGGGGCACCTGGGCTGCCTTGCACCTCCATTTCCTCATTTGATCACTTTCAGCAAGGTGATAATTGCACAGTCCTCTTCCAAATTGAAGGGTAGTTACCTCTGCAGGTGTCACTTGCAGTAACGGTGTCACTTGCCCTGTGCCTGATACTAGGCTAAATATACTTCCTATGCATCTTCCATCCTCATCAGGAAAGCATTGTGATCACAATTTTACTTACAAGTGAGAAAGGTGAGACCCAGACACATGAAGTGGGCATTGCTCAGGATCACATAGCAGCAGACCCCAGGATGAGGACATGGGCCTTCCCAGTCCCATAGCTGTGTGCCCCTTGCATCTGTCATGACCCTTGCCAGACCATGAGCATCAGCCTCATTTCTTTCTTTTTTTTTTTTTTTTTTTTTTTTTTTTTGAGACGGAGTTTTGCCCTTGTTACCCAGGCTGGAGTGCAATGGCGCGATCTCGGCTCACCGCAACCTCCGCCTCCTGGGCTCAGGCAATTCTCCTGCCTCAGCCTCCTGAGTAGCTGGGATTACAGGCACGTGCCACCATGCCCAGCTAATTTTTTGCACTTTTAGTAGAGACGGGGTTTCACCATGTTGACCAGGATGGTCTCGATCTCTCGACCTCGTGATCCACCCGCCTCGGCCTCCCAAAGTGCTGGGATTACAGGCTTGAGCCACCGCGCCCGGCCAGCCTCATTTCTTTAGCTGAAGATGCCAACCCTGGTGATATTTAGGAATCTGCCCAGGGTGACACAGCTTGGCCCAGTGTCCAGGACGGAGTGTCATTAGAAGTGGCACCTAGACATTGCTTCAAGGTGGATGGTGTACGTGGAAGCACTTTGATGGTTCAGTGTACTCCTGCTTCAATGTACAGCAGAGCTTAATTATATAGCTGAGAATGACCCAAAGGCCTAGTGGGAGCTTTGGAGTTGTGTGAATCTGGTGGTAGGGCAGGAAAGACAAGCAGCGTGTGACCAGTGACCAGCAACCTGTGACCCACCTCCATGCAGCAAAGTCCAGCCTCTCTGCCTCAGTTTGCTCAACAAGATGGTCCCTGCCTACATTCTTAGAGTTCCTGTTTTAGAAAGGAGTGTAGTCTCAGACTATGATCTTACGTACATGTCACTAGCCTGGCATGCACAGAAAGAACCCAGCAGCCTGCTAAAAACTGGGACTTGGAGCTGGCTATGAGTGCCAGTGGGGCCCAGAAATGGTCACTGGAGTGACAGACCCACACTTGAAGTGAGATGCAGTCTGGCCTCATCTCCCCACTTGGAAAGACATGGTGTCTGACCCCCACGCTGGCTGACAGACTGGCCTGGGTGAATGGGCACCTGGTCTGGAAAGGCCTGTTGAGGGACAGGAGGGCTCCAAAGCTGGACTTTGCTGCATGGAGGTGGGTCACAGGTTGCTGGTCACTGGTCACACACTGCTTGTCTTTCCTGCCCTACCACAGGCCAGCTTGCTTGGGTTTCTGCCTCTATAGTAAGGGCCGGCACAAAGTGATGCCAGTGTCCACTTACCAAGTGAGTGTGGGATGATGTCTCCAAGAGCTTAGGATTCTTGAGGGAGAGGTGTCAGGTAACATAAGGCGGCAGGCACATCACACCTCGACCTTACAGAGTTGGACATAGTATGAAGGGAGGCTGGCCGGTGGGGTATACGTGGCTGTGTAAAAGTCAATTTAGCCATATTATCTGCTGCGACTTTTCTTTTTCTTTCTTTTATTTTTTTAAGACAGGGTTTCACCATTTTGGTCAGGCTGCTCTTGAACTCCTGACCTCAGGTGATCCGCCCACCTTGGCCTCCAAAGTGCTTGGATTACAGCCATGAGCCACCACACCCGGCCTCTTTTTTTTTTTTTTTTTTTTTTTTTTGAGACAAGGTCTCGCTCTGTTGCTCAGGCTGGAGTGCAGTGGTGTGATCACGGTTCACTGCAGCCTCCCAGGTTTAGGCATCCTCCCACCTCAGTCTCCCGAGTAGCTATGACCACAGGCATGCACCACCACACCTGGCTAATTTTTAGTCTTGCTTTGTCACCCAGGCTAGAGTGCAGTGGCACTATCTCTGCTCGCTGCAACCTCCACCTCCGGGTTCAAGTGATTCTCCTGCCTCAGCCTCCTGAGTAGCTAATTATAGGTGTGTGCCACTACACCCAGCTAACTTTTATATTTTTTATAGAGACAGGGTTTCACCATATTGGTCAGGCTGGTCTCAAACTCCTGACCTGGTGATCCACCCACCTCTGCCTTGGCCTCCCAAAGTGCTGGGATTACAGGTGTGAGCCACCATACCCAGCCACCTGGCTGATTTTTATATTTTTTTAAAGATGGGATTTTGCCATGTTGCCCAAGCTGGTTTTGAACTTTGGGCTCAAGCAGTACTCCTGCCTTGGCTTCCTAAAGTGCTGGGATTATAGGCGCAAGTCACCACGTTCGTGACTTGCTACTTTTGCATGTCAGTTCTAACCTCAGCCCTCCCCTGACTCTCCCCACAGGGACTTCTGGAGCCCTGCCCTGGACAAGAGGCAGAGGAGGAACCCTAGGGTTGGAGGCCAGAAGCAAAAGGCCCCGGGCCAGTTCCTCAGACATGGGATCCACAGCAAAGAAACCCCGGAAATGCAGCCTTTGCCACCAGCCTGGACACACCCGTCCCTTTTGTCCTCAGAACAGATGAGGGCAGGATAGGGTAGAGCAAACCACTTTCTCAGACCTGTCCCCTTTGTGTTGGGAAATGAGTTAACCAGGCCCAAGTGGCCATTCAGTGTCCTGGAAACTTGGAGAACACTGTTGGCCTTTGGAGTTGGGCCTTCCTGTGTTAAGAAGCACAAGATCCAGACCACTCTCCAGGTCAGCTCTGCTGGACAGTGACTCTCTGCCCAGGCCTTAGGAGTGATCATAGCCACTGCTGAAAAGTCAGAAGTTTGCTCCCTCAAACCCCCCAAAGATGGTCACTGTTAGCAGAGGACTGGTGCAGTCCCACCTGAAGCCCACTGAGTGGCCAACTAAGAAGCTCCCAGGGCTGCTTCCTGCACCTCCAGAAAGCCCCAAGTGAGCAGCCAGCCCTCATGGAGCAGGCCCTATCCAGGCTGCCCCGGACTTCTCTCCATAGATGTTCTGAGGAGCATGGTGTAATGCAAGGAGGTGGCTGTGGTAACATTGATCCTGCAGAAGAAGCTTTATTGTCTATCTCAGTTAAGCCAGGACACCCAGAATTCACTGCCTTAATAAAGAATCCAGGCTGGGTGCGGTGGCTCATCCCAGCACTTTGGGAGGCCAAGGTGTTCAGATTGCCTCAGCTCAGGAGTTTAAGACCAGCCTGGGCAAACACAGTGAAACCCTGTCTCTGCTAAAATACAAAAAATTAGCTGGGCGTGACGGTGCACATCTGTAATCCCAGTTACTCGGGAGGCTGAGGCAGGAGAATTGCTTGAACCCGGGAGGCGGAGGTTGCAGTGTGCCAAGATCATGCCATTGCACTCCAGCCTGGGCAACAAAGCAAGACTCCATCTCGCCCACCCCCCCCCACCCCCCTGCCAAAAAAAAACCAGGAATCTTAACCTTACATGACCTCCTGTGTCTGGTTTGACTTGGCTCATCCACATTGTAGCATGTGTCAGTCCTCGATGTTTATGGCCGATAGTTCGCTGTATGAATATACCAGACATTTATCTATTTGTCGGACATTTGGGTGGTTTCCACCTTTTGACTATTGTGAATAGCACTGTGTGAACGTTGGTGTATGGGTGTCTGACCTGTTTTCAGTTATTTGGGGCATATGCCTAGCAATGGAATTGTAGGTTCATACCATGTTTTAACTTTTTGAGGAGCTGCCAAACTTTTCCACAGTGGATGCACCATTTTACACCCACCAAACAGTGCATCAGAGTTCCTGCTTCTCCACATCCTTGTGAACACTTTTTTTTTTTTTTTGAGACGGAGTTTCGCCCTTGTTACCCAGGCTGGAGTGCAATGGCGCGATCTCGGCTCACCGCAACTTCCACCTCCTGGGTTCAGGCAATTCTCCTGCCTCAGCCTCCTGAGTAGCTGGGATTACAGGCACGTGCCACCATGCCCAGCTAATTTTTTGTGTTTTTAGTAGAGACGGGGTTTCACCAGGTTGACCAGGATGGTCTTGATCTCTCAACCTCGTGATCCACCCGCCTCGGCCTCCCAAAGTGCTGGGATTACAGGCTTGAGCCACCGCGCCCGGCTTTTTTTTTTTTTTTTTTTTTTTTTTTTTTTTTTTTTTTGTATTATAGCCATCCTAGTGGGTATGAAGTGGCATCTCATTGTGGTTTTGATTTGCATTTTCCCAGTCATTGGGAAAATGACATTGACCATCTTTCCACAGGCTTACTTACTGGCTGTTGGTATACATTCTTTGTGGAGAATGTTTATTTAAGTTCTTCACCCAAAATTTTTTTAAATTTTTTGAGATGTAGTTTTGCTCTTGTTACCCAGGCTGGAGTGCAGTAGCGCGACCTCAGATCACTGCAACCTCTGCCTCCTGGGTTCAAGAGGTCTCTTGCATCAGCCTCTCAAGTAGTTGGGATTACAGGCATCCACCACCACACTGAGCTAATTTGTTTTTTGTTTTTTGTTTTTTTTGAGATGGAGTTTCACTCTTGTTACCCAGACTGGAGTGCAATGGCACGGCTCACCGCAACCTCTGCCTCCTGGGTTCAAGCAATTCTCCTGCCTCAGCCTCCCGAGTAGCTGGGACTACAGGTATGCGCCACCATGCCCAGCTAATTTTTGTATTTTTAGTAGAAATGGGGTTTCACCATGTTGACCAAGATGGTCTCGATCTCTTGACCTCGTGATCCACCCGCCTCGACCTCCCAAAGTGCTGGGATTACAGGCGTGAGCCACCGCACCCAGCCTTGTTTTGTATTTTTAGTAGAGATGGGGTTTCACCATGTTGGCCAGGCTGGTCTAGAACTCCTGACCTCAGGTGATCCACCTGCCTTGTCCTCCCAAAGTGCTGGGATTACAGGCATGAGCCACTGCGCCTAGTGTCTTCACCCATTTTTAAATCGGTTGTCTTTGTTGAGTTGTAGGAGTTCTTCACAGTTTCTGGATACCAGATGCCTTTGTGGTTTTTGTGTCTCTGCAGGCAACTGCTGTGTTTCTCAAAACCAAACTGCAGGATTGGGCTGCACCATGAACTGGGCTAGGCATCTGAGATCAGACCCAGGCTCAGCTCCTGCTTCCTGGCTTGTTCTGCCACCCTTGGTCTGTGCCCTCATCCCTGGAGCCCCAATTGCCTCATCCCTAATGGGGTGTCCTTGTTCATATTGAGGTTCTCTGCTGAAGGCTTACAGTCAGGTACGACTGCAAATTAACGTTTCACAAATCAAACCTGTTGGAATTTCCAGGTCTCTTGATGGCCCACGCAGGTTGGCAGCACAGCCCACCCCATCGACGTTGATTGGAAGGGTTTGTCCCTGTGTTGAGCCACATTGGCAGCCTGTGCAATGCAAAACCAAGGAGAAGAAGATGACCCCCCTTCCCCCACCTTGCTGGATCTAGCAGAGACTAGGCACTGGCCAGGATGTCACACAGTGGTTTCAACCTCCTGGCTGCCAGCAAGACAGTATCTACTATCTGTTTTGTGCAGGAACCATAGCTTTGCTGGGTTAAGTGTCTTCCCCTACCAAGCAGCTATCCTGGCCTTGAAACCTAGTCTCTGATGCCATGTCCCCTCTAACCCCATCAGAGTTTGTAAAAAGCCCTACTTGCTCTCCACACCAACGCTGAGAGCCCATGGGTTAACTGGAGGCTTTCCTGCCATCTCTTGGTGAGGAAGCCTGGCTGACATGCTGCACGTGCTTCCCCAGGAGACTGCACTGAGAGCAGAGGAAACAAGACCAGCCCACACAACTGGTAGTGTTTGAAGAGTCTGCCCAATCCCGCCCCGAATACTTAAGAGCATCCAGAATTAAAGATAAGCCCTGTTGGCCAGGCATGGCGACTCACACCTGTAATGCCAGCACTTTGGGAGGCTGAAGCAGGCGAATTACAAGGTCAGGAGTTCGAGACAAACCTGGACAATATGGTGAAACCCCCATCTCTACTAGAAATACAAAAATTAGCTGGGTGCCTATAATCCCAGCTACTCAGGAGGCTGAGGCAGAGAATCGCTTGAACCCAGGAGTCAGAGGTTGCAGTGAGGTACACTCCAGCCTGGGCAACAGAGGAAGACTATCTCAAAAAAATAAAAAGCCCTGTCACCACCATCCAATACCCCCATCCCCCAGAAAGCCAGGCTTATGGGGACACAAACAGCAGCATTGGCACTGGTTTTTGAGTCATTGGGCAGAGACCCCACTGCCCTTTGGGATGAATTCACCTGCCTCCTCTAGAATCTAGCCGAGGACTTGGGATATTCACATTCAGCTGGAACTCCAAGTTTCTTGGACTGGGACACGTGGTCCCAGCTCACTATGTTCACCAGGATGTTGCCACTTGCCTATTGACCATCCCTACCTGGCACAGATCTGTGTACCCCTTCCCTATCAGCTCTCACACAGGGACACCCAGATGGCTGATATTGTTTCTGGGTGTAAGTGTGTTGCCAGAGGAGACTGACATGAGTTAGTGTACTGAGGAAGACCTACCCTCAATGTGGGTGGTCACCATCCAATCAGCTGCCAGCATGGCTAGAACAGAGCAGGTGGAAGGGGAATGGGCAGCTTGCTGAGTCTTCCTATGCCAGATGCTTGTTTCCTCCTCCCTGCTGTTGGACATCAGACTCCAGGTTCTTCAGCCTTTGGACTCGAGGATTTGCACCAGCAGCTTCCTGGAGCCTTCAGCCACAGACTGAAGGCTGCACTGTGGGCTTTCCTGGTTTTGAGGCTTTTGGACTTAGACTGAGCCATGCTACTGGCTTCTCTCCACAGCTTGCAGACGGCCTATTCTGGACTTCACCTTGTAATCCTATAAGGCAGTTCTCCCCAGTTAACTTCCTTTCTACATATCCATACAGCCTATTGGTTCTGTCCCTCTGGAGAATGTGAATATAGTCAGGGTCTGGCCTGCAGTCTGAACGTGGAAGGTTCCTTCTGAAATTCATGCAAGCAAGCCCAGTGGCCTCCCTGCCTGCCAGAGGCCCCAGCCCACTGAACTAACTGGTGTCATTGTCTCAGGAATTCAGCAAGTAGTGCAGAGATGACCCAGTGCAGGTCACCTGAGTCACTGGTGTTTGTCTTTGGAACACATGTGGGTTTTGTCCACTACAGCTTTTTAGCTTTCTCAAGGAATTAAGATTTAAATACACATGTTGACCGGGCACAGTGGCTCACACCTATAATCCCAACACTTCGGAAGGCTGAGGTGGGCAGATCATTTCAGGTCAAGAGTTCAAGACCAGCCCAGGCAACATAGGTCAAACCATCGCTAGTAAAAATACAAAAATTAGCCAAGCGTGGTGGTGCACACCTGCAATCCCAGCCATTCAAGAGGCTGAGACAGAATTGCTTGAAGCAGGGAGGCGGAGGTTGTAGTGAACAGAGATTGGGCCACTGTACTCCAGCCTGAGTGACAGAGCAAGACTCCATTTCCAAAAAAAAAAAAAAAGCAAATGTTGACTAGATACAGTGGCTCACACCTGTAATCCCAGTACTTAGGGAGGCTGAGCTGGGAGGATTGCCAGGAGTTTGAGACCAGCCTGTAATCCCAGGCATAATCATGGCTCACTGCAGCCTCGTCCTCCTGGACTCAATCCATCCTCCCACCTCAGCCTCCTGAGTAGCTGAGCCCATAAGTGTACACCACACTTGGCTAATTCATTTTTGTAGAGAGGAGGTCTGGCCATGTTGCCCAGGCTGGTCTCGAACCCTTGGCTTCAAGCAGTCCTCCCACTTCAACCTCCAAAATGCTGGGATTATAAGCATGAGCCACCATACCCAGCCTATTTTTTTGTTTGCTTTTTTAAATTTAGCAGCAGAGGTGGAAATGAGCTGAACATGTCAGCTCTACAGGAATAAATGGTCCCCCGCTGAGGACAATCCCACAGCTAAGTATTCCTGAAAAGAAGTGGGCATGAGTGGATTTACACAAAGGAAACGCTATTTGGTGAAATTTATTGTTGTTAGGGGTAGAGGATCTATGGGTGACATTTTCAAAGAAATACATTTAGATTCTCAATTTTTGGAGTCTTTTTTCTAAAATCTTCCCTAGCAATCCTTGCATTCTAAGCAGGAGTAGTCACTGCCAGTCAACAAGGCTCCTGGCTCTGGGTCACTTGGTGAAGGTATAACCAGGAATTTGAGTCACCACAACCAAAGGTTCTGAGTGTTAAGACACCAAAGCCTGGGCAAGCCCACACCTCGCGCCCAGGGCATGAGGTCATGCAAAGCTCCTAGCAAGACATTTGTTTCCAGTTCTCTGGCCAGAAACAGAAGACCCAGACATCACCCTAGCTAGGTGATGAAACCATGAACATTTCTCTCCCTCTTAACTTATCCTGGACATTTTCTTTTTAAAAAAAAAAAAAACAACAAAACAAAGCTATGGTATGAGAAGGGAAATTTAGAGCTACCTGAAGCAAGTGGCCTCTACAGATCGGCCCACATCCGGCTTGTGTTGTGGTCTGGTCGTCTAACAGTGACTCGAGACAGCTTGCTTCCTGGACAGCTGCACTCCGACCAGGGACTGGCCTGGCAGCTGGGAACGCCTTGCCATGCTGGGGCTTGGAATGTAGCTGGAGGGTGGGGCACAGCTAGGCCCATCAGTCCTTGTTCCTAGGCACTGTTAGCACTGCCCACCCATTAATCCTCACAAGCACCTGGCAGTTGGTATTGCATGATCCCCACCCAGTTAAGAGATGTAAGAGACGAGAGGACTGAGGCACAGGCTCTGCCCCAGGCTGGTCTTGTGCTCTCCCTCCACCACCAGGGAAACTGCTCAAAGTTCTCCAGGATCAAGTGATTGGAGTGGACCTCAGCCATGTGTCTCCCACCTTGGACCCTTATAATATCCTCTGTGCTGGGCGCAGTGGCTCAAGCCTGTAATCCCAGCATTTTGGGAGGCCGAGGTGGGTGGATCACGAGGTCGAGAGATCGAGACCATCCTGGTCAACATGGTGAAACCCCATCTCTACTAAAAATACAAAAAATTAGCTGGGCATGGTGGCGCGTGCCTGTAATCCCAGCTACTCAGGATTGAGGCAGGAGAATTGCCTGAACCCAGGAGGCGGAGGTTGCGGTGAGCCAAGATTGCACCATTGCACTCCAGCCTGGGTAACGAGTGAAACTCCGTCTCAAAAAAATATATATATATCCTCTGCAAGGAGCCCTCATACCTGCCCCTTGCCCTGCACCCAACACCCAGAGGCCTACACCACCATCCCACTTGCTCTGCATGCTCCTGCTTCCCTTGGGTCCTGTAGTCACAGCCGGAAGGGGTAGTCCTCTCAGGACACAAGTGGGGGAACGACCAGCAGAATGCAAGTGGCACAGCTTGGCTGGAAGCAGCCCTGCACCATGACACAGAGCCCTCCCCGGGGCCACATCTGTCATCTGGTGATAGGAAGTGAGCCTTGGCTTTGGTTCTTGAGGGTTGTGGGAGTTAAAATGCCCTGGCCTCTCACCTGCACAAGGCGGGGCAAGTTTCCTCCCCACTTGTGGAGCCACAGAGAGGAGCAAGGGAAGTAGAGAACACAGGTTTCTAAAAAATGATGGGCATGGCTGAAGGGCCATGAACGGCCCACCAACTCCAGAAAATAGGGTGCAGCATTTGGCGGTTCAGCTTTTCGGGAAGAAACAGCCCAAACTGGCTGGTTCCTATTACTAAAGCAACAAGCTTTTCAAATTTTCCTTCCACGTACCCTACTTGTCATGGACAGAAAGTTTGTGTTCCCCAGCTGGGCGCAGTGGCTCACACCTGTAATCCCAGCACTTTAGGAGGCTGAGGTGGGTGGATCATGAGGTCAGGAGTTTGAGACCAGCCTGGCCAACGTAGTGAAACCATGTCTCTACTGAAAATACAAAAATTAGCCAGTCATGGTGGCGGACACCTGTAATCCCAGCTACTTGGAAGCTGAGACAGGAGAATCGCTTGAACCTGGGAGGCGGAGGTTGCAGTGAGCCGAGATCAAACCTCCAGCCTGGGTAACAGAGTGAAACTCCATCTCAAAAAAAAAAGAAAAAAAAGTTTGTGTCCCCCTAAAACTTGTATGCTAAAATCCTAACCCTCAAGGCACTGCTAACAGGAGATGGGGGCCTCTGGGAAGTGATTGGATCATGAGTGTGGACCCCCACCATGGGTAGGTTCAGTGCCTTTACAAGAGACCCTAGGAGAGAATGTCCCCGCTTCCTCCACCTGAGGACAGCTAGATGGGGACACCTATGAACCAGGAT